AAACAGAGCAGCTGCCCACAGACCTGTGCATGGCCCCAGTTCCACTGAACCCCCACTAGCATCCTACTAGTCCTCACTGGGCCTCTACATTCAACTGTGCCCAGCAGGCACCCAAAGCCATAAGGGCTAATTGCATGACTCCAAAACCACCTGTACACCATAACCCAAGCCTTGCAGGTGGTACTGTAACATTGTGCCCTCTGTTGGGGCTTCGGCTTCCTCAGCCTCCACCTCTTTACTCTAGTTAAGCCTTCTAACCTGGGCCCACTGTATTGGACCTGGCTTTGAGGCACTAGCTCTTGCTTTTCCTTTCTGGTTGCTGCGCCCCTGAGGTGCCAAGCTGCTGTCTCACTGTCACCTGGCACTCTCTGCCCACTCTGGGCACAGTAACTGCTTAAGCCTGCCCCATCCCAAACCTCTGGTATAAACACAAGCCCCCGAGCTATGACTTAAGTCACAGCAGTGAAGTTAGCCCTCTGCCCCTTTAAGAGGGCAAACCTTTCTTCATCCTTGAGCCAGCATACCTCCCAACCTGGCTCCTTGTGAGCAACCCAAGTTTAAGTGTTCCTGCAAGCAGAAAGCAATCAGACCAGTGTCCCTAGGCAGTTTTTCTGGACAGGGGCTCCTTCTCCTGCAGCTTCCAGAAAAAGCTCCTCATGCCAGCCCCAGACTTGGTCTTATAAACTCCCAGAGCCCTGCCTACCTCCAGTCAGCTGACTGCTGGCAGGTGCCTGCTAATTGCTCCATTAGCCTATTGCACTGGCAACATGAAGTTGCTGCACTCTGCCTAGCATGCAAGGCATCCTGGCTAAGCTGCTTCTTCTCTTAAAGGAACAGAGAGCCCCCATGCTCTCTGTTGCACACTCCCAGCTTCACTTCAGTTTAATTGGAACTTGAGTGGTATATAATGCTTAGCACTCTAAAGTGTCTGTCTCCATGTGGCTCAAATGGCAACCCAATATTACTGGAAGCTTTTGACCTGCATTTCTCTATGCTTCTGTTTCTCGTATATAAAATGGGGAAATTCCTCAGTTCATAGGACTTAATGTGAATATAAATCCATTAATGTTTCTGATGCTCCCAAATGCAATAGAATGAGTGAAAATCATGAGGGAATTACTAATTCTGTCATCACAGCAAGATTTGGATAACATTCAGCAATTAATGCATATGATTTGAACAATGAAGACAACATCAAAATATTACATAGCTGCTCATTAAAAATAGTGCATGATTATAGTACTAATGCCAATATTTTAATGCATATAAATAAAGGGGTTGAGTTAAGGTGATACAGGCAGCCTTAAGTCTGGAATTTATTAACTTTCCAGTTCACATCCATGCAGGATAATTTATGGTTTGGGGTTAGTTTTTGGCTGTTATATAGAGAGAGATTATATATATATATGTGATGTAATAGAAATGTAATGTAATAATTAAATGGATTAATTTGTATATAGATAGGTTCATTGCATACAAACACTTCACACATCAACATCATGAAATGTGGTTTCAGCTCTTTCCTGGCTGCTTTAATGATGGTTGATGGATCCATTGTGGAACTCAGCCAGTGAGAAAGCTGTTCATCAGACCAAAGCTTTTCCTCTTGCCACAGTCCCTAAGCCAAGTAGTGATTTCTCTTCTCCTCCTCCATTGCCTTTAGACAGTGAGGGAGTCTATCATTTCTACAGAGAGGGAAGTCTTTCCTCCCTCCTACTGTGGCATTTGTGACAACCATGAAAGGATTAATTTGTACAAAGCTATTGCTTCTACAATTAGCAAGCAACAGTGTCATACATCTCAACTGTGATTGACCAATGAGTTTGGCTGATGTAGATTGTTGGTGTGTGGGGTTTCTATGAGATCAGCCACATTTGGAGCTCACTCTCTCTCTAGTTGTTCACTTATGCAATTTCAAGTCAGCTTGGCATACTTCATAATTAAGTTTTCTAAGTTGGCTCAGGACACTCTACTACCGTAACGGGTTTCCAGTTACCATCTGGGAGTTGGAGTGCACAAAAATACAAACAGTTCTTATCAGACAGGTTGTGGCCCACTCAGGGACCGTCCTTTTCTCCTGCTACAATTTCTCTTCTCTCAATATTTTATATTGTGCTTGTCATCATACAGTCTAAATGTCCTGCAAAGACAAGAATTCCTGGCTGTAGAACAGGCTGGGGGAAATAATTTTTAAGCCACAAATGATAGGAATATCATCCATAGAAGTCTTTCATCTCAAGCCCTGAACATACAGTTGGATGGCTTTGGGCTATCAACAGAAATACTAACATCATTCCTGAAGGGCACAGAGCAAGGATATCCCTCAAGGAAGTCATGGATATTTTTATGGATATGTTACAAATCTTTCATTCAGCAATGCAAATATTTTGTCTATGCAATTATTCTGTGCCCAGCATCTGCCTCAGCATCTTTAAATCATGTGTCTAAGGAGTCTTTAAAATTATATGGAACATAAAACATCAACAATTTATTCTTTAAAATATTGTAAATGTTAAATGGCAATTTGATTCAGGAAATTACTCACATAACTAATTTTAAAAAGTAAGCCACTAATTTAAAACCATGTATTCCCCTCATCTTACATTTATTCTGTTATTATTTCTTTGACTATTTATAGGCACACACATAGATGTACCAGTGGGCTTATAGAAAACATATATTGAGAACACAGTCCTCACTTTATTGATAGAAGCTAGTTCACAGGCATGCATGTGCATATGCCTCTCTGGGTATAGACTGAGGGTAGTAATACCATAGAGGTTCAGTTTTGCAAATCCCACCCTAAAGAATTTCCACTGCAGCCAGAAAGATTTATGTAACTTTATATACCCATTGCACCAAGAAGTTGCTGTGATTCCCCTCTTCTTAAAATTGATATATTATATGAGCAGCTTTGTTGTTAGGATTATGTCTAGCTCCAAGTCCTACCAACAGTTTTAAGTCCTTCTTATTTTTGGGTTTTTTTAAGTACAACCTTGAAAAATATATATATAAAAAAAAAGGTTGGCGGGACAGATTGACTAAGCTACCTCCCTTTCTCAGTTGTAGTACTCTTTAGCCTTCTGGGTTTCAGTGTACAAAGCTGTGCCGGAAAGTGCAGTAAACACAGGAAGGGAGCACAGGAAAATGAAATAATTGGCTTTTTTAGGGGAGACATTACATCATTTGCTTTTCAACATATCCCGTTTCAGAGTCAGCATAATACAGTACAGTCCAAGATAAGGAACATGTTTTATTTAGAGAACAAATATAGCTCTAGTTTCATTGTAAGGTCAATTTGCCACATTAAAACTGCAGTTCTTTCAACTAATACTAAGTGGTTTTAATATGTTATGTGCAAATAAGAAAAGGTCTTCAACCAGATCTCTTCTGAATCAGCTACATCTGGCCCAGTAACTCAGTGGGTTCACAGCTTGATTTTGTATTTTGGAGTTTTCCCTCACTAGTAAAACACGGGGACATGACCTCTGCTGGAGGAACTCTGCTACTTCATTGCAGGTCTGGCCCCTGTAAAAGGAAAGTTGAGATTCTGAAGCAGGAGATGGGTACCAGGGAAAATGCCAAGTCACTGACCAGAAATGCAGCTGATCCAGTCTAATCCATGCTGGCTGGACAGTGCTTCTTGGCTGGCAATCCCCCACTTTTCAAGACAGGGAGTCAAAGACTCCTCCTTTCTTTCAGGCAAAGGCTCCTCTGTGGAACAGGCAATCCTTTGGTTGCTATGGATGTTTTCTAGCTGTGGTTGCTGTTGTAGGGGGAGCTGCTACTGAAAAGAGGAGGAGGCAGCAGACACTTTTTAGCAGCTCTTTTGTTACTGGGGAGGTGGTGGTGGATGCTCAGTGATCTAATGCCTTTTATTTGAATGCTAATTGTCAGCTTTGATCATTTTGGTCCCTGACCAGATGACACAAAAGTTGGCCACAGGGGAAAAGTTGTTAAAACCGGGTGTAAATTGGCAGTGACATCAAATTTACCCCTAAACCTGTAGGGTGATATTTTCAAAGGGAGTTTAGCACTCACGGTTAGTAGTTTTAAGGCACCAACCTCTTTTATCCTGAAAATAGTTTCATTCTAGGCATGTATCCTATCTGCAGTTTTTTGTATGTGCTCTCCGCATTTATTGCATTGCATGCTATAAAGGACAGCTTTTGTTTATGAATAGGCCTCTCCACCTGAAAGTGAAGGTGTCTGTAACATCCAGCCTGTGCTTGGCTGCCCTGATGAATGATTGTGAGAATGATGCAAAATGGTTATGCTGCAAACACACATCGTATAAAGCAGAAAACATGGATCAGACATGCATTGTGATGCTGCGGTCACTCATCTGGTGATGCCTCCATGATTGATGACCCACCAATGTGCTCTTCTGTGGTAGCCTCTCCTTCCTGAGCCTCGTGTTTGCATCTCCATTGTGACCTTGCTTGGGGCTTGCCATCTGTGACAGAGAGTGTGTCACCTCACATAGACCTGTGCTCTCTGTGCCTGGTTCCAGCATTGATAACATAGTGTACAACATTACATACATCGATCAAAGGTTTCCTCTGACAGCCTTAAATAGTTTTGTCTTTTGCACCTATATGCTGTTGAAGGGACTGTAGACTGTATGTTGGATTGATCTAGACAAATTTTGCTTTTCAAAAACCACTGTCTCCTTAGCTGGGTTCAAATAATATAGTGTACTGCCTGTACTACTGGACATTGTGCTAAGGGGTAGCAAAGGTGTTCAGTTCTAGTGTAACTCCGTCTTTTTACCAATTTCTAGCTTCATCTATAACCTTTCTTTCTTGTGCACTGCACAATATGTAGAAGGATGAAGGCCTGCTGTTTTCTACTTCAGGATTGCATATTTCTCTACAAATTTATATTATTCACTGGGCAGAAAATCATCAAGACAATTCTGCTTGTTTGCATGTCAGTTAATTTTGTCATATTTTTAAAAGAATCCTCTGAATACAAATGATACTCTGCTGCAATTCAAATAAACTTTGTGTTGATATTTTAATCCACAGTTGCAGGGAGGGGGAAGAGAGAATCCATCCTGAAAGCTGTATTATCTTCCATGTGAGCAAACAATTATATTATTAACATATTTTCAACTGTTCTCCACAGAAGAATTTTTGGTTAGTGACACAACATGAAGTTAAGACTACAAAATTAAAAAAAAAATCTACAGTCTGGAAGAAAGATGCATTTACCTTGAGTGTATATATGTTTTCATTCACACCAAACTAAACGCTAATATTATTTGAGTTGTACACAACTAGAGAGTGTTCTGGTAAAGAAACTGTAATATAAATGGTAGTAATTATAAAATGTTAACAGCAGTGAGTTGGAAGATTTAATGCGTTTTCTTCTTTTAATGTACAGCCCATTCCCAGAATTTCACTGGACCATGTGGACAGACCAACTGTCACAGCTGTCTATCAAGACTGAATTAGGTGAAGGCAGACAATACAAGCTTTGTGGTTAAACTGAAGCAGCAGCCTCAAAAGTTTCCATTTCTCATCCAAGGGCACTGTGGGAGCATTGTCTTCCCCCTCTCTGAAAAGAGAATGAAACAATTATGTTACTGAAATTCCTCCACAGTGTGTCTGAAAGACTGTTTATCTCTAGCCAGGGAGATGGGGGAAACTAAAAGCAGGAGTTTCATGACAGCAGGTGGGGGGAGTTTCAGGGTATATCCTTCAAGTGATATGATGGGCCTGATTCTGCTCTCTCATCAATGTAAATCAAAAGGAAACTCACAGAGGTCGCTGAAGTAAAACTGTTGTGAGGGAGAAAAATATAGCCCCAAATTTTTCTACACAAGATTTCCATTGAAAATTAAGCATCTGTTGATGTGAACGTTCTGGCAGTGCTATCTCTGTGCTCACAAGAAGTTGAAACATTTCATTACAATAACATCTCAAAAGTGCCATTCTGGACCAAATAGTAAATTGCTGCTAACGTGAAGAATACAAATGGTAAATTAGATAAGGCAAACTATGCAATGGATTATGCACCCCACGTCTCATTGCAGTCTGCAGGTGAGAACCTTCTAGGACAGTGGTGTTCAAGTCTGTTGCAGACTAAGGTGCCTGCTCCTTTAAGGGCAGAAAATGCCTAGAGAGAGGGCCCTAGCAGTCAGGCAGAAACCACACAGGTGCAGGTTACTGTGGCAACAGGCTAATGAGGGAATTAGCCTGCACCTGCACCCAGTCAGCTGCCCGGAAGAAGGCAGGGCCCTGGGCGCACATAAACCCCAGGGCTGGGACTAGAGAGTTAGTTCTAGGGCAGTAGCTAAGAAGGAAGGTGCTCTCATAGAGGAAGCTAACTGGAGATGCTTGATTGCCTGTTCTGCTTCTGGTAGGATTAAGGGGCTATAGGAGCTCATAGATAGTGGTGGCAGGGGGAGGCCCAGTAAACTGAGAGAGGAGCTTGTTTTCTAAAAGAGGTTAGAGTGTGGACCCTATGTTATGGTTGTGTTATAGCTCAGGGACTTGTGCTTTCTGTTGTTATTTAAACTGGTAGACCAGGCTGAGGCTACTAGGGAGGAGGAAGACTCATTGGGGCACACTACAGTGTGGAGACCCCAGCACCAAAGAAGGTGCGGTGACAGGGGGTGAGCTGACCCCAACACAAGAAGACCACCTCTGTGTAACATCTGTGAGTCATGGGACATGATAAAGGGATGGTTTTGGAGTCATGCATACCCCAAGCCGTATGGGCTAAATTATAAGGCACTTTCTGAGTGGGACACAATAAAGGGGTCTAGCAACCCATAGGGCTTAAAGGAGCAAGTCAGGACTGTGACCAGGCATCAGCTCAAGGGCAGCCTCCCAATTCATCACTTATATCAGCAAGACATGGCAGGAGAGATTAGTAGACACCCATAAGGCAGAGCCGGAACAGTCACAGTGCCCAAGGGACATCATGGTCATCCCAGGGGTGGTCATATTGTGACAAAGTTATTCAGCCCTGCAGGCTAAATCCAGTGTGCGAGGCCTTTCTGTGAGCCAGGTCAGTGGTGTGGGGCTGGTCCACAGGCCAAATCTGTGGGCCCATGTTATCCAGTCCAGGGGGCTCCTCTTGGGTCCAGAAATATGGTGGCAGGAGAAACTGCAGAAAGCTGCTGCTGCTCCCCTACCACTAAAGATCTGGATCTATGGAGATCCCTTCAAACCAGCTGATACAACTCCGCAAGCTGGATCCAGCCTGTGGACTGTATCGTGGTCACCCCTGTTCTAGGAGATATTTAGCAGGTAGTGCCTGGTGACCATTTTTTCTATTAATAAAGAGAGAAAGTAGAAGTTCTAATCATAGCTTGGGACCTCATTGTGCTAGGTGTTCTACACATACCCATAATGTTCCAATCAAATGACTTATAAAGCTCAGAAAACCAGTTATCCAAGCTTTTCCTGCACCCTTTCCCAGGCCAGAAATAGAGGTGAATGTGATAATGGATCATTTCATCCTAACTTTTCAACCTTTTTGGGTCAGTGTACCCCCGGTGGCTTTTCAAAAAGGAAGGAGTCCCCCCAGCAGCCAGTCTGGAGGGGTGATCCCCCAGTAGCCAATCAGTTACCTGGGGAGGGGGGTCAGTAGAAGTTCCAACCAACAGTGATGGAGAAAGTACCCCCAGGGGTATGCATACCCCCCAGTTGAAAACCCCCGTACTAACATCTTCAATCTTTTGAGGTTAATTTAATGTCAAATATACTATATCTAAACATGAAATGCAGAATAGTGAGGGCTGAGGTGCAAGTGTTCATCTAAAACAACATATAATATTAATCTGTAGCCCCTCTGCTTGGGTGAGTTCCTGCTTTTTCATACAGTAGCCCAGGGACAATCTGGTTAGAAAGCAGTTGCCCTGTTAGTGTAGCTGCATGAAGCTGAGGATCTAACCCAGAGATAAAAGCAAATTTACTACAAGTGTTCTCATACTTCCGTGTTATCCCTAGTATCATTGGTTCTCAAGGAACACTCAGAGGTGCAGGTAGGTTTATCTGAAGAAAGTGAAGTCAACTTCCTGATGCCAAATAATGAGTTTGCTGGGGTACACTAGTTTAATTTAAACCAGGAAGGGGTCTGGGACAGACATTGCATACACCAGTTTAACCCGAATCAGTTAAGTCTAATAGTACATTCAACCAGGTTTATCTTAAACCAGTTTCAGCCATTTTGAAATTGGTTTATGTACACTGAACTTGTGTTCTGTTACATGTTTAAACCAGTTTCTGATCACTTAAATCAGTTTAAGTGTAATGTCTCTCCTGAGCCTTAGAGCTGGACGTAGGTTTATTTGAAGAATGTGAAGTAAACTTCCTGATGCCAAATGCCATTTTCTTGCAAGTTCCAACACTGTTAACTCTTCAGGAAGTAGCTGTCTCTTACCAATTTTGTATAATGCCCAGCACAATAGATTCCTAATGGGCTACTTTGCACCACCTATAACATAACTGCATATAATAAAAAAACACATAATTAGTATTGTTGGCACAGTTATCAAGGGGGTGCTTAGATAGTTGAGGCATACTCCAAGTCCATAGAAGACGAGAAGCTCCTATTAACTTTCACGTAAGTCATTGGATCAGTTTGCAAGTACTGACCCAGAGTGCTCAAAAGCAATCAGAAATTTTGCTTTTTAAGGCTCAGTGTCAGCAGGCATATGTTATGACACACTGACACTTTCTCAATCTCAATTAGCACTCAACTAATTAACAAAACTGTTCAATCCACTGAAGTGAGTAGTATCTCTCTTCTTTCTTGACTAATCCCTAATGTGATGTAAGGGTGATTGAGTATCTAATTACTCCTTAATTGAATGAACACATTATACATTTTTCCTTGAGTTCAAGCTTAATGCTTTTGGTCCAGAAATCAAAGTCAGTTAAATTAAGTTGAATTGGGATTTAGGCAACTATTGTATTAAAAGAAATGCTTACAGAAAGGAGTCTAATTATGAACAAATGTGAGGATTTTGCATTGTATTCCTTCTAAAAGTACTGAATGATGAGAGACTCATTTAGAAGATTTATAGTGTTATTATTCATGTTTACCCTTTAGTCTCAGTTCAGCATCATAATTAAATTCCCTTTAAACTAAAGGAGAAGGCGGGGTAGATTTGTACCTTTATAGGCTAACCAAAGTATTATTTTCATATATTGGCTGCTGAACTAAAAGTAGTAATATTTATCTCATACAGTATCGTATGATGGCACAGAAGGTAGACAAAAACTGTGTATCGGATGAAATATCTGCTTCACGTACCTCTAGGAAAGGTGTGTGTAATAATATTTAGAAGAATTCCCAGATGTAATGTTAGTTTGCAGTTTATGCCTCTAAACCTGCAAGCTATTTTGTGTGGAATCCTGCACCCAAAAACTAGCCCTGTTGGCTTTGAGGTACAAAGCCGGTGAAGCATTCTTTCCTAAAGAGCAGCTTGCTGGTTCATTCTACTCAGGGGAGTTTGGTGGCCTATTATAATCATACCACAGTTTAAAACAATTGTAAAAGAAATAAATATTGACATATTTCATTAGCAATATAGAATTACTGATTTTTCATCACAAAATTGAAAACTGTTCTGTTTTCAGGGCAATTCTGCTAATATATTATTGCAAAGGCCACTTGCCTAAAGGCATTTATTGCTTCAGAGAAAATCCTCTTGATCAAAACTTTTTTAAAATAATAGTGATCTGCCCCTACGGGTAGTTTATGTTAAGTGTAGGACTATGACTTTATAGAAAAATAGCAGGAGAAAGAGATTCATATATATATATATTCATAAATATATATATATTTATTGTTTAAGTAAGAAATCATACAAACAACCATTGGTGATAGAGGACATGTAGAGAGAGAGAAAGATAGGGAGGTGTCATAAAACTTTCATCTAATGAACTGTCTTTCAAAGTTGTTTGTATACCATCAGCAAGTCTGTCAGAATGGTTTCAGGTAAAGGATCTCTAAGGGTATTAGGGAGGCATCCAGGAGTAAAGGGAGGGTGCTAGTTAAGGTGGCAGAAGAGGAATGAAGGCTGCAATCCCTGGTCAGGACAGCTGCACGGTATCAAAAGAATTTTCCCATTGTTGAAATGGCTAGTGACCCAACTCATTGGCACTCCCAGTCCCCTCATTCCTCTTTAGCAAAGCTTCTCTCTTTCTGCACCTTGCACCACCCCACCCCCGTCATTACTCCAGCTTCCTCCCATTCTCTCTTTCCACTTCTCCAACATTACACAATTTGAAGTCTTATCTCAATTTAAATTTTTCAAAAGTCCTTGCAACCAAGCAATAACAACACACCCCAGATTTTAATTTTTCTTTTTCAAGGGAGAATAGGTGGCAAAACTACTCTGACATTTCGCTACAAATGATCATGATCTCGGAGTAAAAAAGACCGTACTGCTGGCTGCATCCACATGAGGGTGGATGTTTGTTTCCCCGGGGACAAGTAGCATCAGCACACCTTGTGCTGCTGCTACTTGTTCCCAGGGAACACACATACTACATGCCCCCTGGTGCACAGCAGGTTACCCTGGGTGGGATAAGGGAGGC